ATTAGTTTTTTACGGCTGTAAAATGTCGAAATTTTCGGTGTTTTAGCAGCCTTGTATGTAATTTATGTACGGCATCAACCGCAGTCGTGTGTGGATACTATATCGGTTATTTGCAGCGGTTCAAAAAGATCGCTGTACAAATACAAAATATTCTAAAACCCAAATTTCATAGGTACATACTTGATTAATTAATCAGATATAATAGTTGTAGCACAAATGGGTCGGCTCGACCGGGAAAGGACCACGCTCTCACAGAATACCAGCGTAAAACAGCAGCTTAACGCTGCTGTGTTTCGTATGTTGAGTGTAGAGAACCGGAGACCCTTTTTACTGGAAATGAGGCATTCCATCTTAGTCCTCACGGGTGACAACGCATCTGCATTTTGATTTGTTATAGAGGATAGATGTAGATGTCTATCGGCCGCAGCAACCACTTACCATCAGGAGGACTGTGTGCTCGTTTGTCACCTCTATCCTATAAAAAAAAGTTTGACATAAAATTATAAGAAAATTGGATGTATTATTAGTGAACACTTGTGTATATTGAAACTACTTTAAAAATCCGTATAATCATGTTATACGTATTTTTAATGCGCTTAGGGCATGCACAATTGGATTTAGCAATAATTTTTGTAAGGACTTGGGATGTGAATGATTAGATGTAGATAGTATTTTTTTCAAAACCGAAAACATTATTTGACTTCCTATAGGAAGGAAGGAAGCTGAAGGACTTATTTTAATAAAATAAGTCTAAAAAATAAATTTTACTAAAAGAAAATAAGTCCTTCAGCTTACATTGTCCTATTCGAGCTCATTTTTAATCGTTAGCTATAACGATACGGATAAGTGTGCGGTCCTCCATGTAAAAGGGGAAGAGTTGCTAACTCTGAGGGAATAGACTTGTATATGCCTATCAAGAAGCATGTCAGTCTGCCGATGAGCGCCCTAGCCTTTTTTTTATAGAATAAGGATGACAAACGAACACACAGTCCACCTGATGGTAAGTGGTTGCTGTGGCCTATAGACATCTACATTTTTATCCTCAATTACGAATCAAATTACGGCGATTTATAGGCGATGGCCTTTGCGATACGTCCTTCAATTCTTATTCTCCAGGCTGAGACGGCGCTACATTGCCTAGTAGCACGTTCAGCCATGGGAAGCTTGGTGTCAATAATACGGCATACTGTCAGTCTGTCAGTTTTTTTGCTTTTGATTGCTAAATCATACTACTTACTCATTTAATATGCTCATAGTATCAAGAAGGCCCCTTTTAAGTTCATTTATAGTGACGGGTTAGTTGCACCTCACTCTACGTGTATCCAACCTGTACATTGTGCGTGGCGCGACACGCACTTTGTAGGGTTTTTTACATTATTTCTGCCACCAAACAGTAGTGCGTGCACTGCTGTGCTCCAGTTTGAAGGGTATAGAGAGCCAGGATGATTACAGGCTGTGAGGCATTCCACCTTAGTTCACAGGGTGACAACACATCTGGAGCCTCCTTTAAATGTAATGTAATGCATTTTTTTTATAAAAAGCAACTTTTTGACGGTAAAAGAAAATATCATAAGGAAAGCTGCATCTTTGAAAAATATGAAAAAGGAAAGTTGTATCTTTAAAAAATGTAAAAAAAATTAGAGAGAATATAATATACTTGCGATTGTTGTCACTTGGTGAAAGTCCAGCTTCATTTTTGTGATTTGGATAAACACTTGTACTATTTATTTATTTATTTCATAACATTACATTTATTAGTTACACATTACATTACGGTACAATCATAAGTTTATAGAAACTTTACCGTGTACCGATATCGCCGACAATAATGAATATGAGGGTAAAGTAAAAAATTACACTTATTATTTATTAAGTGCGTGATCTGCTAATGCAGGATGCAATGCTCATGGATTGTATATACAGGACGTTTGTTTTAAAGCGTTATCGTAATATTTATTGGTAATACATATTATGTATTACTTAAATTATTTATGATGCAATCTATAAAGTAGTTTTTTAATTTTAATTTAATATTTTTTTGAGTCAGTTCGGATTTTAAAGATCCTGGTAGCTGGTTAATTAGGTTAGGGATCATATATTCTAAAGTACGTTTACCATATAAATTATTATATTTAGGTAAGGCTAATTTAGGTTTTCCCGAACTGCGAGTTTTTGAGTAATCACGGGTAACGGCAATTTTTGACTGTTCATGAAAAAATTCTTCTACAAGAAGGGTAAACTTTACTTTTTCGTGTATCGGTATAATTTTGCAATGGCTAAAAAGGTTATGGTAATCTGATTCTTTATATTGGTTTTTAATATTATCCGGAACTATAGTTTTTAGAATACGTGACTGCAGTAAATAAATATGTTCTAAATGTGATTTGTACGTTCTGCCATAACTAGACAAGCCGTATGCTACTTTTGACTCCACCAGTGATTTATATAGCTGTATAAGAATTTTATATGGAATTTTATATTTAATTACGGAAAATTTTGCAAGCATACCACGAAGTTTATCACACACGTGCTCAATATGTTCTTTCCAATTTAGTCGACTATCTATGATGAGTCCTAAGTAGGCCTGTGATTCTACTAGGTCTATGGCTTCGCAGTTACATGTAGTTGGGACCTGTCCTCTGTGCAGGCATTGGTGGTCATGCGCTATGAGCCTAGGTAATACCTTACTCCTATTTTGACTAGAGCTAATGTACATTAACTTAGTCTTAGCAGAATTTAAGACTAATCCTTTATCATGTGACCACTTCATAAGAATATTAAAATCGTCTTGTAGGAGGTTGAGAGTGTCGTTAATACTGCTCCCAGCCGCGACCAAACAAGTATCATCAGCATACTGATAAATTTCACATTGCTTGATAATATTAACCAAACTATTAACATAGGTAATGTAGTGTAAAGGTCCCATTACCGAACCTTGTGCTGTGCCCACAGATATATTTACTAAGTTGCTCATTGAATCTCCCACTTTTACCACATATTTTCTATCAGTCAGGTAATCTTTACACCACGACAGCAGCAGTCCCCTCATACCATTATCGTTCAGACTATCTATAAGTTGATCATGACTAAGTGTATCGAAAGCCTTACTGTAGTCTATAAACACTACCAATATGTGTTTTTTCTTATCTAGATGATTGTAGATACTGTTAGTGAACTTCGTTAATAGCTGAGTGGTACTTTTATGAGGTTGAAAGCCAAACTGTTTATTAGTCAATATATTATTTTTCTCATAGAAATTGTAAATTTGTCTGCTAACATACTTCTCAGCTATTTTATTAATGGTAGGTAATATAGTAATCGGCCTATAGTTATTGTAGTCAGACTTGCTGCCCTTTTTATGTATTGGCCTGTTTTTAATACTTGAGGATACTTGCCGTTCTTAATACATGCATTTATAAGATTTGTTATAGCTACTTTAATCACTGAGCATATTTTTTTTATATCTATGGCTCGTATCCCATCAAAACCAGGAGCTTTATTGGTGTTTAAAGATTTAATAATGTTTTCTACTGCAGCAGTGTCTGCAGGCGTATACCTCATAGATACATTAGCGTTGTCACGATATATTGACTTATCCAGTATAGGTGTTTTACATTTGGGTATGACTCGTTGCACACTTTCATCAAAAGTCGTAGCAATTGTGCATGCAATTTTCTTAGCTGTATTCCTGCCGTTGCTGAAGGCTTTTAGCAATACATTATCAATCGACTGTTTTATTCTGCCGGTTAATCTATTTAATATTTGCCAAAGACATCGGGGATTGTTTTTGTTATTATTTATTTCTGATTTGAACCATTTATTTTTGCTTTTTTGAATTAATGAGTTTGCATAATTTCTTACTTTGTTGTAGATTTGTTTTAAGATCATATTTCCACTGTCTTTAGTCCAATTATTGAATAATTTGTCCCTGTACTCACATGATTTTAAAGTTTTTTTATTTAACCATTCATTATTGATTCGCCTAGCCTTTAGTTTAATTTTAATTTTACATTAGCTGTTATTATAACACTGCTTAAAGTTACTATTTATAAAATTATAAATTTGTATCGGACAGATCATAGTAGTATTTGTTTTTTGCCATTCGATTTCACTTAACGATTTTATTAGTGCATTGTTATTAATACAAGTCTTAATTTTAGGAACGTCCTGTATACGCGACCCAACACAGGCAAACACTATCGCGTGGTGATCCGCTAGTGTCGTACCGATAGCCGCTGTGAAAAGGTCTTGTGTATGGGATCTCGCATAAATATGATCGATGCAAGATTTACTTAACTTATCACCCGATATTTCTTCTTCTATCTGTTATCAGTAATCCCACGCACAAGACCCAAGCTGTACATTGAGTTACTGTATTTATGTTTTACAGGACTATCCAAATTGAGATCAATATTCATGTCTCCTATTACATACAATTCTTTATTACAGCAGTGTTTTCGTAAAGTTTTTTCAAGTTCGATAAGAAATAGGTGTTTACTGTGTTTAGGGGGGCGGTACACGGCACACAGGTCCGCAAAATAGCCCGAGTCGGTAGTGATTGTACATATAATACTTTCGAAGTGTTATGTTTTGATGTTTTTAGTGCTGAGATTATGTTTATTATTTACGTAAAGTACAATACCACCACCCCTTCGGGCCTTCCGCAGACTAGTTAACATTTGGTATCCTGAAATGTGAAATAGACTACTAATTAAATCCGTAATATTAACCTCAGTTACGACAATGACATCTATACACTGATTCGAAGCTATAATAGATTGCTCTTAACAGGCAAAGTTTTTTATCATAGACCGTATGTTGATATGCATGCATAACAAATCAATATCATGATTTTTAGGTAGAAATTTAAGGAAATCGTTGATATTTGTACAGTCTAAGCATTCAAATATTTCATCACTTAATGTTCCCATTAAAAAACTAAATATATTTAAATATATATAAATAAAACTACTTCCAATAACAAAAATAAAAATAACACATTACTTGTTCTGTTTGGCTAATACGTTCACGTCATTAAGAGTTCTTAGATAGTGTATTTTTCCTTTATCTTCCTTACGTGCCTTTACAAACCCTTTTTTAAACCATACGTATTTGAAGTTAAGCTTAATTTTTAATTCCTGTTTTGCTAGCCATAGTATTTGTTTATTTAGCCGAGTCATAGATTCCCTGATGTACACGATGGCATTGTTGCTTTGTTCTTGCGGATGAATATCTGCAACGGTCACTGTTGTGGATTTCGCTGCTGCCAACCCCTCGTCCTGTATACTTTCCTCTTTAAGTTCTACTAGTAAGCTACTTTCCTGCTCTTTTTTCCCTCGCAGCCTACGTGATTGCTTGATACCGGCTTTAGGTAAGCTTAACTTCTGAGCCAAATTTTCGACTAAGTTTTCCACATTCTCATTTATATGCCAGGGTACATTTGCAATTTCAATATATTTTGAGAGTTTTTCTTGTTCCAGCGCTTGGATTTGTTGTTCTAAGGCGCCTACCCTAGTTTCCAAATTGTTATTTTTGTTAGTTAACTCAACGTTCTTTTTTCCTAAATTTTTGATTGTTTGTTTGAATGTTTCAATACATCCCATTACTTCGTCAAGTTTGGCACTGTGAAACTGTAGGGAGTCGTTTACCTGCCTCATTTCATTTCTGATGGTTTTTTCTACTTCACTTGAGATGTCCTTTAGTAGTTTCGCAGAGTCGATTTGAGCTCGATTTTCAGCATCCTCTTCGTCATCGTCCTCTGGTACAAATATTGAAGATTTGCGCTTCGACGACTCCTGCACACATTCCAGGCATGTCCATCCCAATCCAGGAGATGCTGCTTTAAGAGCGATGAGCTGCTTGTTGGTTAATCCAGTGCATTTTGTACTGAGATGTACTATGCGCTCACATTTGTTGCATTCCACTCCGGGGGAACTTTTTGTAATAGATTTATTACAGTTGTCGCACTTGGTAGACATAGTAGGTAGTTTCAAAAACAAATTAGATAAACAACAGAAACTCACGCGGTTATCGATAAGTGTAATGCACACGACGTTTCGGCGGCGAAAATGAGTTAGAGTTAGTTAGGCGAGAGTTAGTTAGACTAGTTTCACAATATTTATTTAAAATTACTATTATACTAACTACTAATAAAAACACCATCCCTGGCATCAACAGGGTATATATTTATATTATTAACTAAGTTTTGTAGCTTTATTTTAAATATTTTGAAACTATTATAAATGTATCTTAAACCACACAAAAATTTTGACAAAATAATAAGCACACTGGACTTCTTGTTCGTCGTACTGCCGCGTTGCTCTAGTGGTCGTTAACGAAACTGCTGATCATGAGAACCCGGGTCGGGCCAAAAAGTTCCGTATGGATGTCAAGAAACTCACAGTAGAGTCAGAAGTTGGCGGTGTTTCGCCCCTGTGCCTCGAAAACCACCTAAAGCTGTTGATCTTGCGCCTGATCTGTAGTCGTGCCGGATTGCCGTCACATTGAACTTTGAAATCGAGGAAAAAGAGAGTGCATCAGTGCTTGTACCTACACTTGGGCACTATAATCCTGTTCTACGTTGATTTTTTAATTCGGTCTGTATTTCTCACCTAAATAATGTAAACCCGCATTATGGCGCTTTTATTTATATTTAGTTTTTTTTTTTATAAAAGTGAAGTGATAAACGATCTTACTGTCTACTACTGCAGTTTATGGATACCTGCAGCCAGCTTCAAACAAACAAGGCTACATCCCGAGACTACTCTCATTCTGTAATTATAATATATATGATGATTCCGTGGCGCAGTGGCTTAGCAATGAGTTATGGCACTGAGGGGTTTGTGTCCCGCACAGAACAAGTATTTGTATAGTCTACAAGTGATTGCTTCTTGTCTATATGTTTGTCCTAATGCAATCTATATAATATTATATAAACTCTCTCTAGGCGTGAAGTGGCGGTTAAGAATATCCAATACCCCATATCTTGCCGTGGGTGTCGTAAGAGGCGACGAAAATTATGAAGAGACGGCCCCCAGTCCCCGGTGGCCCCGCATTTCCTAAATACGGCAGCGACCACGTTAAAGGCGGGGCAAGAGGTGCTAAGAATCTCCGGTGGAGGTTCGGTTGCCACCTAAGACGACTCAACCTGTAAACCTGAAAATGAGATTTTAAAACCAGTGCGTGTTCCAAGTGATGACTTATGGATCTGAGACATGGTCTTTCACTGCTGGCCGTATGATGACGCTTAAGGCCACTCAGCAAGCTATGGAGGGGGCTATGCTCGAGGTTTCTCTGCATGATAAACGCTTGACCAGCGGGATAGCAACTGCAATTTTTTTATTGTAATTATGCTATTATCAGAAATATGCTGCTACCCATCTCCTGCCTCAGTTTCTATCTGTCGCCACTTACGACACCCACGGGAAGATATAGGTTCAACCTACACGGAAACGATGGTTACCTTACAATCGCTAAAATAAGAATCATTGATCTCTCGTATGTGCTTTCTCTATTTATATTAGGACATTATTGTGGTATCAGCTATCAATAATAACCCATGGATAGCCGTAATTAGGCAGCTTGAAGGATTCCATTAACCAATTTCAGTAATATTTAGTGCATATTGCTTCAATGTATTAACTTTTATAAACATAGAACATAGTATAGTGAACTCGAAGAACCGACAACCGATGGGGAGGAAAGATTCTCGACTGGCAGCCTCGTACCGGTAAGTGGAGTGTAGAGCGGCCTGCCACTAGATGAAGTGACGACCTGGTAGGACATGCAGGCAGTTGATGGATGCAGGTTTTTTTTTGTTTTATTATAGGATCGGGTGACAAACGAGCACACAGTCTACCTGATGGTAAGTGGTTACTGTGACCCATAGACATCTACATCTATCCTCAATAAAGACTCAAGATGCAGATGCGTTGTCACCCGTGAGGACTAAGATGGAATGCCTCTTTGCCAGTAAAAAGGGTCGACGGGTCTCTACACTCACCATACGAAACACAGCAGCGTTAAGCTGCTAATTTACGCTGGTTTTCTGTGAGAGCGTGGTCCTTCCCCGGTCGAGCCGAGCCATTCGTGCTATAACCATAATATAGCTGCAGCATGGCTCTACCACGTAGAATACCACGTACCAAGCAGGTGGCTCAAGACCTTGTTTTTGGAATTCCTTAGGGGAGGCCTATGTTCAACAGTGGACTTGTGAAGAGCTGTTATGATGATGATGATGATGATATTGATGATGGGTACAGTGATAGAGACAGATACAGAGGGTAGCGTGCTCGTCGCGACCCCTGCCAGCCCTTTTCAGGGCTGCAATTCTACTCAGCTGCGCACCCATGTCAACGAGGGTTAGGGCGTCCCCCCAAGGCGACGCACACCAGCTCGTCCCCGTTGGTGTGGAATGCAGCGCGCAAAGCGGCGATGGGGACCGCCACCCGTCACGCACAGCCCGACACGGCGGAAGGTGGAGGACGGAGTGCAGAGTTGGCACGTGGAATGTTAGAGGAGGCATGAGAGATAAGACGAATGAGTTGATCGAAATAATGAAAGAAAGAGAATTAGATGTCGTGTGTATGTCGGAGACCAAACGGAAGGGCAGTGGTACTGAAGAGCTCCCTGGCGGGGCGTTTGCTCTATGGTCCGGAGTCCCGGAGAGCGAGAACGCCTGCCAGGGAGTGGGGGTGCTGCTGTCTTCTCGGTTGGTCGATGTTATGACTGAATATAAGTTTGTGAACTCAAGACTTCTCTGGGTTCGCTTTAAATTGGGACTGACGAAGTTATTCCTTTTGGCTGTTTATGCGCCGGTGGCTTCGTCGTCCAGGGCTGAGCTGGAGGAGTTTTGGGAGAATGTAAGAGAAGTTCTAGATTTGGCAAAGGGAAACGAAAGGATTGTTGTATGTGGTGATTTGAATGGATGGGTTGGTACCGCTCGACCAGGGTACGAGTCGGTACTTGGAAAGTTTGGCGATAAAAGGGTTAATGATGCTGGCAAGCTTATACTGGCGGTATGCAAGGAAAAAGGTCTTCTTGTGACAAACACTATGTTTAATCACAAGAAAATCCATATGTATACTAGAGAAAGAAAGAATGAGAGAAGTATGATCGATTTGTTCCTGGTGGATGACCGACTGCGAAAACAGGTTATGGATACGCGAGTGTTCAGGGGTGCTGACCTGGGAACGGATCACTATCTGGTGATTACTAGATTTAGGGGTCTGTTCGCGGGTTGGCGCTACCGGACGACAGTGACAGAACCACAGTCGGTCTGTCGCATCCGAAGCTGGAAGCTTCAGAAAGCGGATACTAGGGACAAATATCATGCGAGGGTAGCCGAAAAGCTTGACACCATCGATGGCAGAAACGAATGTGTAGAAAGAACATGGCAGAACCTTAGGGATGGAATGGTAAGTGCAGCGGAAGAAGTGTGTGGAACAATAAAAAGAGGCAGTAGTAAAAGAAGAGATGCATGGTGGAATGATGAAGTGAAAGAAGCTGTAAAGAAGAAGAAGAAAGCATGGTTAGACTACTTGGCCTCTAGTAATGATAAGGATATGAGAGAGAAGATGAAAGAAAGATATAAGCTGCAGAAAGTTCACACGAAAGCATTGATTGAGGAAGTGCGTGAAAGGTGTAGAATGGAAGCGGATGAAAGGTTGTCGCACAACTTTAAGGAGAACTCCAAACTCTTCTGGAAAGAGGTTGGAAGGACCCGAAGTGGTGCGACGGCCTTAAGAATGAACAAAGTGTTTTCGAGAACTAATGACGTCCTCTCAGAAAAATCGGACGTCATGCAGCGATGGAGCGAATTTTATAGAGAAATGTATGCGTGTGATGATCTTAGTGAGGGATCCGGGGATGACGCCGTGACTGGCACGCCAGACCCGGACCTCGATGACACTGAGGTCATCAGTATGAAAGAGATTGAACGTGCGATTCGAAGTTTGAAATGTGGTAAGGCTGCGGGACTAGACAGAGTTACTGCTGAAATGGTCAAGTATGGTGGGCCTCGCGTCTGGGACAGCTTTCATCTGCTGTGCAATTTGTGCTGGCGGACGGGGGATGTCCCGGATGATTGGCGATCCGCAGTCATTGTGCCTTTATATAAAGGTAAAGGTTCACATTTTGACTGCGGGTGCTATCGGGCGATCAGCTTGACCAGTTTAGCAAGTAAAGTTTACTCGAAGGTTTTGACACGTAGGATGCAAGAGAAATCGGAAAGATTTCTATGGGAGGCACAATGCGGATTTAGACCTGGAAGAGGATGCACGGATCAAATGTTTTCTCTCCGTATGATCACGGAAAAGCTTCTGGCTGTTAACCAGAAGATTTTCTGTGCTTTTGTGGATCTTGAGAAAGCATTTGATAAGGTTGTAAGGAAGAAAATGTGGGAACTGTTGCCGGGGTATGGTGTGGATGGCCGATTGCTAAGGGCTGTGCAGTCTCTTTACTGTGACTGTAAAGCCTGTGTGCGGGTAGGGCATGAACTGTCACCCATGTTTAGCGTCCAAACGGGCGTAAAACAGGGTTGTGTCATGTCTTCCTGGCTGTTCATACTGTATCTCGACAGCTGTTTACAAAAGCTGAAAGATAGCTGTTTGGGTGTGAAATTGGGTGACATAAAAGTAAATTGTCTGCTGTATGCTGATGATGCAGTGCTTATTGCACCATCAGAGGCAGAACTGCAGGCATTAGTCACGTGTATGAAAGAGGAATGTGAAATTAAAGGTCTCCGTTTGAATGCTAATAAAACTAAGGTTCTGGTATTTGAAAGGGACGAAGAGAGAACGAAGTGTGAAATATGGGTAAATCAGGAATGTCTAGAACAGGTAAATGAAATTGTATACTTGGGGAGTGTTTTTAGCCGGGATGGAAGATGTGATTTAGATGTGGACAGGCGTGTCGCTGCCGGGAACAAAGTCAATGGTGCCCTGACTGCGTTAGTCAAAAGGCAAGGCGTAGCGAAGAG